GTTTTTAAATTCTGGGAAGAGAGGCGCAATTTGATAATAAAAGCAAAGCGATGATTGACAGCAAGGACAACCAAATTTCGATCCCCTCAGTACTCCACCTGTTCGTGTATTTATTTTACGTCCAATTTCGAACTTAAAGGTAAATCTGTTTTATTCTTCAGAGGGATTCCAGGATCTCCTCGCTGGATCTGAATACACTCAGATCCTAACTGTCGTCGCCAATCAGATTGGAACCTTAAGAATTATCGACAACTTGCAAAAGGAATACTTGGAAGCAACCAAGACATATAAGCAAAATCCTAACCAAGACTTGATGCAACAAAGAAGACAAAAATGGTTTGATGATGTGAGTTTGCTCGAAGAGTAGCCTCGAGATAAGTTGCTCAGTGTTGCCTTTTATTGAAGGCTGCCATAAAAATCGTGAAAACTGGTTGTATTGATTTTGTTAAGTTTAAAAACCTTCATTCGACTCATAAGATTTGCATTGGCCTTATCATTAACCTTAAAAGAACTTGAGTCATGTTGTCACAAATTCTTACCTCCTGGTTAAAGGTTCTTTAGGATTTTCGGTGTATTTTTTGTATTTCAGTATCTGCCAGACTATCAAACTACTAGCATGCTTTTAAGGCTATCCTATGTTCTCACTTATCCTTTAAAAATATTTTAAGGAAAACGCATTTGACCCCGCTGAGCTAGTTTGCACTGCTTCCTATGCGAATCGCAAGTTTATGCCAGCCATTTCGATTCAACACTTGTCTCAGAATCCCGCATTACTTTCTCTCAAAAAAATAGTAAATAGGGTGCGTCTACGAGAAAATGCAATACAATCCGATAGTTTCAAACCGCCAGACCACTATCAGTGTTTTCGGATAAATCGTCCTGATCTTGCCAAGGCTGAAGTTGCAACATTTTATAGAAAAGTACTTGATTTGAATATTCCTTTCGCATATAGGATGAAGACCACTTCGTTGCATTAAAGGAAGCTCTAATTCTTCTTCTTGAAAACATCTGTGACCCCATTCTGAACACGTATGACGTGTTCGAGGGTTACGCCTGGAAGAACGGAGAACAAGGAACTAGCGCTTTGACCGATCTCATGAATTTTATCGCAAGGATTCGATTGCTTGAGGCGAACGGTTATGCCGTTTCGAAGAGCCACATCTATAAAAAGTATGAAGACAACGAATACAGGCGAACTGTAGAGTTAAATAGTGTCGATAACAAGATGAAAAAAGTGGCCCAGTGCGAAGATCCTGCCATAGCTCGAGCTTTTACGAGAATGATCGACCATCAAGGTGAGTAAGTTTGATGGAGAAAGGATATCTACTTGAGATTTTCCCAAGCTAGGTAGCCCCTACCCACCTTGCTATACCATTCCTAAGCAAACTTTAGCCCCTCACATACCACCTCTGTCATTATATCTACTTATTTTGATATATTGTCGTTATGACGAGACGGCAGGTAAACGGGGTAGCCTTTTGTTTGATATCTGCCTGAATTTAGATAAACTTTCTCTGATTTAGTCTCAAGAGATTTTTAAAAGCATCAAAACCTGAAGTCTTCAAAAAGTTATCAGAATTGATAATATTTGTAACCCTTTTCTATACCTTAGCATGATATTATTTATTTTTGCACTGGCTTCAGAAGTATATATATCTATTCTCTTCATAATTTTTGAATGGTTTAAACCTCTATATTTTAGTTGGGGTATCCCCAAAGATTCCTTTAAGAGAGGCCCAGGTGTATAGCTCACCTTAATGATCCCCTATTAGCTAGTCAGGAAAAACTGTACACAATTTGTCTGCACACAGTTGTCTAATTGCTGAACGACCTGATTCAAGTTGACCACAATTTCAAAAGTTTCCTCCCCCTAAGTCAAGAGCATCCGGCTCAATCTCATTTGTTTCCAATGAAATATCGTGACAGATCGATCGAGGTCAGCTTTTCCTAACAAGGGACAGTTGGACATCAACCTGTCTACATATTTCCCAACGTAAATTGCTTTTGATCGATAAATTCGGCGCTCTTAGGTACCCCAGCGTATGGAAGAATACGGTGGTCACACACTTACAGTAATG